CTTTGCTTCTGTTTCAATGTTTTGGAATAGTTTGTAAAGAATTGGTGTCATTTCTTCTTTGAATGTTTGGTAAAATTCTGCTGTGAATCCATCTGGTCCCGGGCTTTTCTTTTTTGGGAGCTTTCTGATAACATCTTCAATCTCCTTTAATGTTATCGGTCTGTTCAGGTTTTCTATATCTTCTTGGTTTAATTTTGGAAGCTTGTGTGAGTCCAGGAATTTATCCATTTCCTCCAGGTTTTCGAACTTGTTGGTGTATAGCTGTTTATAGTAGTCTCGGATGATTCCTTGTATTTCATTTGGGTCAGTTGTAATATCACCTTTTTCGTTTCTAATTTTTGTTATTTGAATCTTCTCTCTTCTTTTTTTTGTTAGCCATGCAAGTGGTTTGTCGATTTTGTTTATCTTTTCAAAAAACCAACTTTTTGTTTTGTTGATCTTTTGTATTGTTTTTTGGTTTTCAATTTCATTAAGTTCTGCTCTGATCTTGATGATTTCTTTCCTTCTGCTAACTTTAGGTTTGGATTGTTCTTGTTTTTCTAGTTCTTTAAGGCGCATTATTAGATTGTTCACTTGCCAGCCTTCCATTTTTCTGAGGTAGGCGTTTAATGCAATAAATTTCCCCCTTAGTACTGCCTTTGCTGTATCCCACAAGTTTTGGTATGATGTATCATTATTTTCATTAGTTTCAATAAATTTTTTTATTTCCTGCTTGATTTCTTCCTGGACCCATGTATCGTTAAGAAGAATGCTGTTTAATTTCCATGTGTTTGTATACTTTTCAGGGTTTTGTTTATTATTGATTTCTAGTTTTAATCCATTGTGAATTTGGAAAACTTGAGCATCTAAGTTCTTCTCTGCCTATTTTTTTTTTTACCCTTTTTGTCTTTTTTTGTGACTGGTAACGGGATCACAACCCTCGGTGTCGTGTCCGTACCGCGACTGGCAACGGGATCGCAACCCTCGGTGTCGCGCCTGCACCGCGCTCAACCAGTGAGCGGACCGGTCTCTATATGGGATCCGAACCCTCGGTGGGAGCGCCACCGCGCTCCCAAGCGCCGCACTCTACCGAGTGCGCCACCGGGCCGGCCCTCTGCCTATTTAAATTAAAGGAAAAGAAGTCCACCAAAGGATTGCAACTCCTAGAACTTGAGAATAAACCCTCTTAATATTAAACTTCAAGATGTGGTCCCTGTCTCTCTCCCATCCTCCTCGCCCAAGGACTTTGGGAATTTGCTCCAGTGGCTGGTCGATAGGTTTACCGTCCATTCTCCTACAGGCTTGGAGTTAGTACTGACATTGCAATTTTATAATCCCAACCACCATTGCCTTCCCCTGCCTCTTATCCTAGATCCGGTCTGTTCTTGTTAGTAGTGAAAATCCCATGTTCCCACTTCAGTGACATCTGAATTGTTGTTTTTTTAAATTGTCATTAAGGAGGAAGGACCTCATTAAGGGGTGAACTTGTAATAAATTGGAATTTCAAAATAAATAAATAAAAACTCAAGTACTTACTGCAGGTAGGACTGTGACATTATTTTAAAAATATATTCTAGGTTAAAAAATTTCAGATAAAGGGCCGGCCCGGTGGCGCACTGCTACAGTGCGCCGCTTGGGAAGCGGGGCGGCGCTCCCGCCGAGGGTTCGGATCCCACATACAGACCGGCCGCTCACTGGCTGAGCAAGGTGCGGGAGCAACACCGAGGGTTGCGATCCCATTGCCGGTCCCGGTCCGGTACGGGCGCAACACTGAGGGTTGCGATCTGTTGCCGGACATGAAAAAAGACAAAAAAAAAAAAAAAAAAAAAAATTTCAGATAAAGTGTTGGAGGGGGGAAAAAAAAAAAGTAGTATACAAATGGGAAAAGACCCCCCATT